TCTTCAAGTGTCAACAACCCCTATCCTATTTTTCCAACATTTTCTATTTCCCTGACAGTTGACTTAGAAATTGGTGCTGCACCTGCAACCCATCGTTATTAATATAACCAGTCCTTTCATTGAACATGAGGCAGCTAGGTCAAAAGTGGAGGAAGTGAATGCCCAAGGACCTATAACATGCCAATAATGAAGCATGGCCTGGAGTCCACATCTCAAAATGCTCTGGCCATAGATCTTTCCACATTTCTTGCGCCATCTCATAATTCTTCCATTCAAGTGCTGTATTAAAGCCAGATGGTAGAGGGTTTTTTTAAAATGCCCCCCAAAATTCACTCTTACCTGTTACCTGTTTATTGAAGCCAAGAAAAGAGAGTAGAAACATGTTTGGAGAACAGACGAAATGAAGGATGAAAGTACAAGGCACATTTCCACAATAATGATATTTAAACTCAGACTGGTATCTTTAGGAAATGCTCAGGAAATGAAAAATAATGCCCTTTGGTACTTTAATAATCATAATGAACTTCTGCTTCTGGCTATGACAGAGTAATTGTTATAGACTTGTCATCTTGACAAAAACAACTATGAAACTGAACAAAACATATAAAATTACTGACTATTAGAAGGATATTGAAACTCATATGAAATATTAAATTCTTAACAGTTGTCAGGCACTAAACAGGCAGCACAGTGCTCTTGAGTGGAGAAGCCCCCATGATAAGCCCCACCATGGAGTAGGTGGGGTACCTAGAGTTTCCTTCTGGTCCTGGCACAGAATTGTGGTACACAAGCTAAAAGTTGATCTTAGTGAGCTCAACATTCAGATATTGCAATTCCAAGCTCCTGAAATAGTTGGACGTTGCAAGGGCAAGGAAATAGGGAAGAGGAAGCCAGGTTGAGTTTTGTGTAGGGATTCACTTCTGGTTGTTGGCTGGGGGCTGGCTGTGAATGAGTAGAGTGAGAGAGTGAGACTCTCCATGAGACCCAGCACAGATAGCCTTCCTTAGGGCTGAGAGCTGAATGATGCCAAAGGTCATGCAGTGCTGGGAGATGCTAGAGATGCCTGTCAGCCCAAATGAAGAGGCCTCACTGAGCACCTAGGCATCCAGGTGAGACCTCAGGACAGCTACACTTTAGGAATAAGGACTGTGCCCTTGAGAAAGGGAGATACCCTAGGACTAAAGTCAGAATGGAACTATAACTTGAGAAAGAATTAATCCAAGCTTGATAGCACTAAAAGGACCTGCCAATAATTTACCTAAAAACCAGGACAAACTCAACACCTTTAAAGGAAGACAACATAGTCCAGACTCTGAGCGTATCGTAACAATGTCAAATGTGTAAATTCATGGATGTACAGTCAGAAGATATGACTTACACTTAAGGGAAAAAATCAGTAGACAGGTGTCTCTGAAGTTGGAACTAGCAGACAAGTTCTTCAAAGTTGCTGTTATAAAAATATGTTCACCTTATGGGATGTTTCAAGAGAACAGCATTGAAACATGTATATTATCTAGGGTGAAACAGATCACCAGCCCAGGTTGGGTGCATGAGACAAGTGCTCGGGCCTGGTGCACTGGGAAGACCCAGAGGGATCGGGTAGAGAGGGAGGTGGGAGGGGGGACCGGGATGGGGACTACATGTAAATCCATGGCTAATTCATTTCAATGTATGACAAAAACTACTGTAATGATGTAAAGTAATTAGCCTCCAACTAATAAAAAAAAAATATATGTTCAAAGACTTAAAGGGAATGTTGGATAAAAAGAGCAAACAAATGGAGACAGAGAAATGGAGATTATTAAAAATTTGCCAAATGGAAATTATAGTCCTAGAAATAAAGTTTTAAAATTCACTGAATGAGGGAATTCCCTGGTGGTCCAGTTGTCAGGACTCCATGCTCCCACAGCAGGGGGCATAGATTCAGTCCCTAGTGAAGGGACTGAGACTGCAAGCTGCGTGGCCCAGCCAGAAAATTGACTGGATTAGATTACAGGTGGATCGGAGATAGCACCAGGAAGTGTTGGTGGACTTGGAAACTAACCAATAGGAATCATCTCATCTGAAAAACAGGAAAATAGTACTGAAAAATATCAACAGCCCTGGTGACTTGTGAGATAATAACAAGAGGTCTACATATGTATAATCAGAATTCTGGAGGGAGAGGGAAAAGGGAATGGTGGGACAGAAAAAAATTGTTTGAAGAAATAATTATCAAAAATGTCCCACGTTTGGTGAAAAGCCTTAACTTAAACATCCACGAATTCTAGTAAACCCCTAGCAGGATAAATATAAAGAAAACCACACCTAAGCCCATCATGGTCACAACTGCTGGAAACCAAAGAAAAAGAGAAAATATTAAAAGTGGCCAGAAGAAAGATTACATAGAGAGAATAATTGTATGAATGATGAATGACTTCTGTCAGATGCTGTGGATGCCAGAAGACAGTAGAACAACATTTTTAGGGTACTGATAGGAAAAAGAAACAGTCAACATTCTCTATTCAGGAAAAAAAAAAAATGCCTTTGAGTATATTAAGCAAAACAAAGATATTCTAATAAAAGAAGAGTAAGAATTTATTGCCAGTATACCTGATGTACAAGAAATGCTGATGGCAGTTCCTGAGTCTGAAGAAAAATGATACCAGGCAACCCAGGTGCTCAGGAAGGGGTGAAAATTGCTGTAAAGGATAAGTACATGTGGGTAATTATAAAGGCTTTTTGTAATTAAAAAATAGACACGCACATATGACATTGTACTGAGAATATATAATACATAGGACTACTATACCATTAAGGATGGAAGTGGATTTATGCAGTTGTAAAGTTCTTATATTTTACATTAGTGTAATATTAATTCTAAGTATACTGTGCAAAGTTCAGAATGTATATTTAAATCCCTAGAAAGACCTCTAAAAAATAATGTAAAGAGGAATAGCTAAAAAGTCAATAGTATAGAAAAGTTAAAATGGAATTTTAAAGAGTATTTAGTTTACCCAAAAGAGTGCAGGAAAGGAGTAACAGGAAAACCAAAAACAAATGAGATAAACAGCAACAATGGCAAAATGATAGGCCTCTACCCAAACATATCAATAAATGTAAACGGACTAAATACTCCAATTAAGAGGTAGAAATGGATATACTCATTAGCTTGATTTTGGTGATTATTGCATAATATATATGTCTAGCATTGGCCAAGGAGTGCAGGTAGCCTCTGGAAGCTGTAAAAAGGCCAGGAAATTATTCTCCTTTTGAGCCTCCAAAAGAGCCTGTTGAACTCCCCTACACCTTGGTCAAGCCCAGTGAGGCCATGAGATCAGTGTCAGATGGCTGGCCTACTATTCTCTTACAAAATTAAGGTAATAAATTTGTGCTGTTATAAGGCGTAAGTTTGTGGTAACTTGTTATAGCCACAGTAGAAAATCAATAAGGACAGAAAAAGATATACCAGGCAAACAGCATAAGGAAGTTTGAATGGTTGCATTAATATCAGATAGAGTAATAGTAAAGACAGTGTTAGCAATAAAGAGGGGCATTTCATATTTATCTAAAGGGCCGTTCATCCAGAAGATAGAATAGCCTTAAAAATATACGTACCTAACAAGAGCTACAAAATACATGGGGAAAAAATTTGACAGAAATGGACAAATCCACGATCATGGTGGAAGATTTTAATACCCTTGTGTCAGCAGTTGATACAACAATTAGAAATAAGTCAGTGGTGACAACAAACCAATAAAGACATAAGATCCGAACCACACTATTGAGCACTTTGACTTAATTGACGTTTTTAGAACCCTGCACCCAATTTCAGAACACACCTTCTTTTCTTGTGCACGTAGTACAGTCACCAAGAGCAATTACCTACTGGGCAGTTGAACAAGTCTCCATAAATTTAAAGGGATTGAAGTCATACAGGAAAAATGAAGAAAGAGTCCTATGTATGTTCTTTGACCACAGTAGGATTAAGTTAGAAATAATAATAACAGAAGTAGGATAACACCGAATATTTGGAAATTAGACAAAATATTTCTCAATAATCTGTAGATAAAAGAAGTCACGGGGAAAATAGAAAATATTTTGAACTAAGAGAAAAAACACAGTATGTCAAAGTTTGTGGTTTGCCACCTAAAGCTGATTTTAAAGGCAGATGTGTATCTTTGAAATCCTTTGAAAGTGCATTTTCAACACTCAGCTCTCACTGACTTGTGCTTTCAGCTCTCCAGTGAGAAGCACCCTTTCTTTTGTACCATACCCGGAACAGCTGATTTCTGCTGTATCGGTAATGACATCTTAACACATCAGTTTGCCAACCTGCCAGTCGCTTCCTTTCCGAACAGTAAAAGCCCGTCAAGGACAGGAGCTGCCGTTCTCGTTGGTGTTCTGTCTCTGGTTCTGACACAGTGCGTGACATCTGGAGGGCTCTCAGTCACTTCTGAATGAAAGCTTGGGAATGGCTCTTACCTTGCTGAGAACCCAGTGGAGACAGGCGGACTCAGGGTGATTAACCCCATTTAACAGCGGAGGAGACAGAAGCCCGGGTTCCCTTAACCAGCCAGTGACAAAGCCAGGTTCCATCGCCCCTCAGATATTTTCCTTTCAGGCCACCGATGACAGAAATGTCACCATTCATGATAAGGGTCTCCCTAACAGAAGTACGGAGTTTATGTGAGAGCCTTCCCCAGCTGTAATCTCGTCATGGCGTGTGTACGTGGTGGAGGATGGGCCAGGTGCCTTTCCGAAGGCGCCTAGGAAGCCATCGGCGCTGGGCCCCTGAGTCATGACAGGTGGAGAGCCTGGGCCTTGACCTCTTCCACACCCCGCCCACCCGCCCAGGCCCTGCAGAAAGTGCTAGAGCTGGAGGCTGCAGCCTGATGCGCTCAGGCCGCCCACACTGGGGGACTCTACTGCAAGCTGTTTTCTACCTAGGTTTCAGTTCTTAACTGGGGCTTGTTTCCCCTTTGTCTCTGGTTCAGCTTCCTTTTCCTGTTTGGTTTCAAGTAGAGTCTAAAACTCGAGTCGCTGCCTTCCCAGAGTCTACTGTCAGATCAGCTGGCCTGGTGGGGACGCGGGCCTCACCTCCTCCGGCTCCCTGTCCTGCAGGTCTGCAGCCATGGCCACCGTGTGAGTACGGGGACTGCAGGGGGCGTGGAGACCTCCCCAGATCCCCTGGTCACGCTGATAGGGAGACTGCGGCCAGGGGACAGGGGGCCCTCAGGAGGCGTGTGTGTGTGTGTGTGTGTGTGTGTGAGAAGTACTTCCTCAGAACTCAGACACCTGGCTCGGTTGGTGGGGGGCTCCGAGCTATCTCAGGGTCTGGGGTTTGGCTCAGAGGTGCTCTTCTCTCTAGAATGGCCTGGAAACGTTCGGGGGTGTTCTCTGAATCCTGGGCACAGAGGGAGGACCTGGGGTGCCTTTTGGACAGGTGGAGACCGCATGGGCTGTCACAGCGGAGCCCTGGCCTTCTGCCTGAGGCTCTTGGGGCTGCCTTTAGGCCCCGGATGGTTTGGGCTGCAGTGGTTTGGCATGTGTGTGGGCACCAGCCAGTCCACGTCCTGCCCTGGTAGTTGTGAGCTACTCTTTCCAAAGGTGAGATTGTGACTCAGACGTGACTCTCCCCTGCCCTGAAACCCCATGAAAGACTGGATCATAAGACAGAGCTTTATCCTCTGGGATTTGAGGCACTGAACGTCGACTCGTGGCAGCCTTACGTCTCAGCATAAGTTATACTCCTTCCCCTTAAACATTCCTGCTCAGTTCCCAGACTGCTGTTTCACCAGTGTTCTTGTTTGTTTTTTTCAACCATGTCGGGTGGTCAGCTTGGGAAGGGTCGCCACTGCTGTTCGGGGGGCAAGGAGGCCTGGCCTCTGACCGGCCGTGGCGATTGCTCAGGGCCACGCGGCTGGTTGAGGAGGGCCGGGAGGGAGAGCCTGCCCAGGACAGGACAGCCGCGGCCGGAGGTTGTCCCGGGATGCCGAGCGGGCTCTCTGCAGGCGGTCTGCGGGGAGTTAGGACAGGGACAGTACAGTAAGGGGGGCCCGTTGGGCGCTCCTGGTCAGCAGGGGAGCTTTGGCCATCACAGCATACCCCCCACCCCCGGCGCGGCCTCAGACAGGCTGCCAGAGCCCCTTCCTCCAGGCCCAGCGGCTCACAAAAGCCCAGGGACGCAGTTGGCCTCTCCTGCTCCTTTGCAGCCGGTTTTCCTCTCCTTTAATATTTACTTAGTTGACTGCACCAGGTCTTAGCTGCAGCATTCAGGATCTATGGTCTTTGTTGCAGCACGTGGGATCTTTAGTTGCAGAATGCAAACTCTTAGTTGTGCCATGTAGAGTCTAGTTCCCTGACCGGGGATTGAACCCAGGCCCCCCTGCGTTGAGAGTACAGAGTCTTACCCTGGACCATCAGGGAAGTCCCTGCAGCCAGTTTTATATCATTTTAGTCATTCCCCTGAACTTGGCGGGATTTGTGGGTAGAGCTGTGGCAAACAAGGCTTGCCTTTTTAAAGGCCCATCAACTTCCAGGGTGGGCAGGGACCAAAGTCGTTATCAGCCAAAAGCTACGCTGTGGAAAGCTGAGTTTACTCCATCCTGTCTGCTCCTGATGGCAGAAAACAGTATCAGAAGTAAACAAGGCGAAAGCAGAGCCATCCTTAGAAACCTTTTAAAACTGGAGAAGTCTTGTAAGTTTCCGTCCTCAAAGCAGTTCGAGACTGTCCACCTGCAGTCAGTCACCCAGGGTAGTGTTGCTTCAGGCACTTCAGCCTCCTCTTCAACCAGATTTGCCCTCTTTTATCTTTTTAAAGTATTCCTCCATATTTGTTTAGGGGGGAAAAAAGTTGTTGCTGGTGATAATATCTTGAAATTGGAAAACTACTTATTTAGTCCAGCTCTGAGGTGCACGGACGGGGAAACTGAGGCCCAGAGTCAGGGCAGAACTTCTCTGTGAGTGAGTGGTCCAGCCAAACCACAGCCCAGGTTTCCTGGCGCCTCCGCCCTGCCCTGCAAGGCTGCCGGCCCTCGGGGTGCCAGTGGGGCTGCTCCTGCAGCAGGGCCGTGGAGCCCGGTCACTGAAGAGCGTCTTGAAACTTTGCTGCCTTGTTCTGATCAGAGCATCTCATGGCAGTGTGTTGAGTTCCCTGGGTGTCATGAGGCAGGAAGTGCCTGAGAGCTGGTCTAGTCTTTGACAGCTGAACCCTTAAAAGAGAAAAGTAACAGCAGTACCCAGGTTTCGGTGTTGTATGCCAAGCCTTGTGCTCAACATGCGATATGATGTACATTGTATTTGACCTCCCCCTCTGCGGTTTCTGCCGCTGTTCCATCTCCCTGGTAAGGACAGGGGTCAGCAGAGTCAGCTTACCAGCTCCAGGGCACACTGCTGTTGGGAGAGTTGGGATCTGTAGTCAGGTCTCCTGTTTTCAGAAGCTAAGCTCCTCTGTAACCTCTCAAAGGAACTTGCCCAGAGTTACAGGTTGAATCAAGGCCCCGAATCTCTGTTACTCTGTGAGGTCTCCGATTTCCCACTGTTAACACCACGGAGGCAGGCGGCCTCCTCAGCCCTCCTGTAAGTGCCCACGTTTCTGTCTGTCAGTCATCCTCCCTTTGCCCCCTCCCCTCCCAGCCTAGAGCTGTTCGGGCAGGGGGTCTGTGCCTGCACTCCTGCCCCGGGACTGGCGCACACGCACTCAGGTGTGAACCTGAGCTGGTGATCAGGGGGTCAGCGGGGCTTAGCCTGGTCTCGTTGCCAGGCTTTAAGCGAAGCCTTGGAGCTGCATGTACTGCCCTAGTCCTTGGCCCGGCCAGATCCCCTCCGAGGCCCCTGCTCGCCACACAGACTCAGGGACACAGGCCTGTCCTGGAATTGGCACGTGTGTTTGGAGTTGGGGCAGCCCTGTGTCCACCTGGCCTGTCAGCTGGGTGGCCTCGAGAGGAAGAGTGGGAAGGCTTGAGACGGGCTCAGGCTGAGGGTGTCAGACTCTCAACAGTTGGATGGAGTGTCTGTTCCAGATTCCACCAGGCTTCCCAGAGGAGCGGGGCCAGCTGCCCAGGCATCTGGGACACTGGCGTTGGAGTGGGGAGAGACCGACAGTCTTAACTGCACATGACCTGGCAGTCTGACCCTCCTGACCAGCTTGGAAGGAAGAAAGGACGTGTGGGCTAGACCCTGACTTTATTCTTCGTTTACCCGAAGCCTTTCTTCAATTGTCACACTCAGCAAAGCTGGGGCTTAGTCACCATGTGAGATTCTTCACGTGATCTGTGATGTCTGACTTACTGTTTTCATTCCCGTGGTGCAGCAGTTCCCAAAATGTGCTCAGAAGACCTGTCCTCTTAGGGCTCTGAGTCAAAACTGTATTTGTAATAATAATACTGAGACATTTTTCTCCTTTTTCAGTCTCATCTCATGAGTGCATGGTGGAATTTTCCAGAGGCTATATGGCATGTGTTGACACTGTCATTGCGACAGCCAAGGAAATGTGTGCTTGCGTTTTTAAAAATTCTTAGTTTTAATTTCAGATACGATAAATATAGATACTTAATCTCCATAAACAGAAGCTTTTTGGCTCCCTCAGTAATTTTTTAAAACTTATTGAAGTGTAGTTGATTTACAATGTGTTAATTTCTGCTACACAGAAAAGTGATTACACATATACATATACATTCTTTTTCATCTTCTTTTCCATTATGGTTTATCACAGGATGCTAAATACAGCTCCCTGCGCTACACAGTAGGACCTTGTTGTCTATCCATCCTACATATGAGAGTTTGCATCTGCTGATCCCAGACTCCCAGTCCCTCCCTCCCCAGCCCCCACGGGCACCCCGAGTCTGCTCCTTGTCTGTGGGTCTGGTTCTGTGTCATGGATGAGTGCATTTGTGTCATCTTTTAGATTCCGCGTATGAGGGATACCTTACGGTATTTGTCTCTCCCTGTCTTCACTTAGTACGGTAATCTCTAGGTGCATCTATGTTGCTGCAGATGACACTATTTATCCCTTTGTATGGCTCACTAGTATTCCATTGTGTATATGCACCATATCTTCTTTACCCATTCATCTGTCAGTGGACATGTAGGCTGTATCCATGTCTTGGCTTCTGTGGATAGTGCTGCTCTGAACATAGGGGTGCATGTATCTTTTTTATAGTTTTTTTTCCAGATGTCTGCCCAAGAGTGGGATTGCTGGGTCATATGGCAGCTCTGTTTTTAGTTTTTTTGAGAAACTTCCATACTGTTCTCCATAGTGGCTGCACCAATTTATGTTCCCACCAGCCGTGTAGGAGGGTTCCGTTTTCTCCACACCCGCTCCAGCATTTGTCTATAGACTTTTTAGTGATGGACATCCTGACCGGTGTGAGGTGAAACCTCATTGTAGTTTTGATTTGCATTTCTCTAATAATTAGCTGGCATCTTCAATTATTTATATAGGTGTAAAGGGGCCCTGAGACCAAAAAACATTTGAGGACCACTTCTGTAAAATGGTTATATGACTGAACTTCAAAAGGCAGGCAGGAATCCAGGCTGGCGGCTCCCACTGCTCGAGAGGAGGGCAGCGGGGTGCAGAGGCCTCTTGAGCTCAACAGCTTTCCGAGGTGACGTTGCAGTTCCTGGGCCGAGTGGGGTGGTGGCATCACGGGAACCCGCGCCTGCTTCTCACAGCCATCAACTGGTTCAGAATGAACATTTTAAGTTTAGAACAAAACATCAAATCTGTTTCAGGCCTGTTCCCATTAAGAGAAAAAAGGTCACCCTAGAGGGGACTTACTCGTTACCAAGGGGAATATCCCTTCCCACTGGGAAGATCTGGCGTCTGCTCCGGTCATCAGATTTGTGTCTCAAAGAGAAGGCAGCTGAATGTGCTTCTTGATGTGCTGTGATAGAACAGCTACCCACTCCCACTATTTGTCATGTTCTTCCTGTTCACCCTACCCCCCCTCTGGAGCGTGGGGGGCCATGCGCCTCCCCTTGACGCAGACCACAGCTCTGTTCAGACCTCTAGTTTCTGAGTACCAGGCGTAGGATATACTTGGCACATAGTCAGTACCCAGAAAAGGCGGTGTTCTCTTCGTTTATTTGTCAGATTGATGCAGGAATAGAAAGCAGTAGTGGCCCAGTCTTACAGGAATCTT